GAAGGTGTATTCATTTCTGTTTCTGTTACCCCCTTGAAGTATTCTTTTAACCCTATAAACTGCCCACACCCTTCAAGTTAAGATAGAAGAAAATTGTGTCTGACAACCACTAACATTTTAGCATGAATCTGTGGAAGATGTGAATATTTGCTTTTCCAACTTATGTTTTTGATCCCCTAAGCAGTGCAACTTTTGGGGTGAAATTTAGAAATTACTTTTGAAATGTCCCAGAGAATCTTTGAGGTCCACCTGAAAGGTCTTACTAGTAGTCCTTTGGTGTACATATATAGTTTCTCAGAAAACAAACAAGACCACACCACTGTGTTTTATTTTAAACTGTATGTGTCAATACTTGTAATTATCTCATCCAACTTTTGATAGCCACTTCTATTACACTACTAATTTTAGTAGTGAATCTCTACGATTCATACCTTCAGAAGATTGTGTCTCAAATCTCAAATTATAATCCTTAAATAATTAATATTTAGTTTCCACTTAATTTTTTAGCTTTTCATGACAAAGCATATATTCTAAAAATATTACGGTGTTTTTTATTTTCATATACTAAAGAATTTAGTGGCAAACATTTTCATTAATATTACTAGAAATGTTGAATTCATTCAATTCAAGTGAATATTGAATTAATTTCAAAATAATGGTTTTATTACTTTGACATCATCATATAATCATTAAAGAAAAAAGTAATTATTAACTTAGATGTTACATTCCCTCTACAAATGTTAACACCAGTTGAAGATGCTGTGGAATATATGCTGACAATAAAATAAAATTCTAACAATTATCAAATATAAAGTTGTGGTGAGTTTCATGAAGACAGCCGTTTTGAAATACATGTTTACATTAACCTGTAGAAAATGTTACTTTTACTGTAAATATAAATTACCTTTTTTTTTTAAAGATTTATTTATTTATTCATTCAGAACTGGGGTACAGGCCAGAGATGCGGAGGGTGAGAGGATTCACCAGGGACAGAGTGGGGAGCAGAACAGGCAGATCGATGAAGTACACTGCTGAGGGGAGCAGTGTGCGGGTCAGGAGAGGTCTGCCTCGCCATGTGGATCACCTCTGGGGCAGGCGGGTATCGAACTAATGTGGAAGTGGCTTAGGCTTATTGCTGCGCCACCAGGGAGGGCCATAAATTAACTTTTTTAATTCAAATTGCAGAAAAATCAAAACATTGAATGACAGATTCTACAGAATTATTTAGCTAAACTAAAGTATATCCATAAACAAATATATAAATTACATCTGAAAGAAATTTTAATAACCTGGGGGAAATTATCTCCATATAATTTTTAGTGAAATATTCAGGGAACAAAATGTTATTTATTCAATTTCATTGTCAGAAAACCATAATGGAGTTAATCTTTGTGTCATGTGGCTATGAGCTATTTGTTCCTAATTTTTATATTATATTGTGTTAAATTTCCATTGTAATATATTGTTTCCCACTTTGGAGTTGACAGTCCCTTTCCACTGTCTTGAGATTTGTCAGACATCTATTGAAACTTCCTACATATATAAAGTTGATTTTATTTATTATAGTCATATAAAATCATTATAAAACTCTGATCAGAATTGTTTTGATTTATTTCCTAAAATCATTTTTTAGCTTAAAGTATTTTTTGACAGAAGTGCTGTTTTATTTTGTTGAGGTATGGCTATACTAAGCCAACATATCTAATATGCACAGTGCAGCAATTTTTTACGTGTATTTATGTTAGATATATATGTAATATTTGATATATATTATTTGATATATATATAACATATTTATAATATTTGATATTATATATATTTGATAGTATATATCCAACATATATATATATATATCCTATATATATATATATATATATATATATAGGATAAAGTAGTGTAACTGCTACTTAATGAAATGAAAGAACTCTTTCAGAACACCAGAATGCTTCCAATACCCAGCTGATTTCCCACATGGTTACCAGTACTTTGACTCAAAATTAGTTGCATAATCTCATGAACTTTATAAATTTTATGCATTATTTATTTTGGGAATATGGTTTTCTCTACTTAATATCACATATTTGGGATCCATCTAGTTTGTTGCATGTATGAGTAATTAATTCTTTTTTATTACTAGTTTTTCCTCTGTGTGTATGTGTGTGTACATGTATGACCATTCATCTATGCTCTTGTCAAGGAACATTTGAACTTGTTACACTTTAGACAATTATGAGTAATGCTACAATGAAGATTCTCTTCTAAAAGGGTCATATAAACTCCTTTTTTCATGCTAATTCTTCTTGGTTCATTGAATCTCCAAGTTATAGAGTTCAAGTATATTTAGCTTTAGTAAGTGCTGTGAAATAGTCATCTAAATTGGTTGTACTGATTGTTACTCACATAGCAGTGCAGGAGAGTTCTCTTTGCTCCACAGTCTGATCAAAATTTGGTGCTGTCAGTTCTATAATTTTAGTGCCATTTAGTAATATTTCACTGTGGTTTTACTTTGCATTTCCTTGATTGCTACTGTTGTTGAGCAACTTTTCATATGCATGCAGGCAATTTAGATGTTCTCTTTTGTGAATTGCTGAGGAATTTTTTTTTTTTGGTACATTTTCAAAATAGGGTTTTCAATCTTTTTCAAACTGATTTGTGTGAGTGTTTTGATACTCTGAGTATGGTACTTCATTGTATGTATTGCAAATACATTCTCCTAGTCTGCACCTTGCCTTTTAACTTTTTAAATATTGTCTTTTGATTAATAAAGTTTTGACTTGAACAAAATCCAATTTTATACATTTTACTATAATTAACACTTTCTTTAAAAATTTATTTCTATCAAAAATGTAAATATACTTATGTAAACATGACTTTGGAAAAAAGAAGAAATCTTTGCCATCCCAAGTTCAGTTGTTATTATTTTAACTTTTACATGTTGGTCTAAAATCATCTCAAATTAATCTTTAAGTGGAGCATGAGATAACAGTGAAGGTAGACTGTTTTTCTATGTGGAGATTCAGTTGATCCACTTTCACTTGTTGAAAGATCATTCTTTTCCCACTGACTTGTGGCAGCCCTTTTGTGGTCATAAGGAGGACATACATATATTGTATGTTTTTGGACCCTCTGTTTCATTGTTTTGTTTATCTAAATGTATGCCAATACCACATTATAAAAATTTCTGATACCTGATATTTTAAGTTCTCCATCTTGTTCCTCAGTTTTGCCTTAGACAGTCTATATTTTTTGTAGTTGCATATAAACTTGAGAACCAATTTGTAAATTATTATATCCACACATACCCACATATATTAGTAATAAACTGAATCTAGAGATAAATCAACAGTTTTAATTTTAATATTCAGTTGTTCTAATCTAGGTATTTGGTTGACACCATCATTTCTCTTAGCATTGTTCTCTATTTTACAGAGTGGATATTTAAATGAGTTGCTTGATTTTTATAAAATTGATTATGAATTAAAATAAAATTTTTAATGTTTACAAAGCATCCAGTTTTATTATTAAAGATCCGCTATCATGTTAAGACAGGACTATTAAAGTAGCTAAGTAGTCTGTAAAATTATTTAGTGCTATAATTTCACTATTGTAATTTGCAGCTTTTACATCTGATTAAATGATAACACTAAGCTAATTCATTCTTCTGGTTAAATATATTAAGATCATGCCTTGTCAATACCCATGAAATCTCTGATATATGTGTAAATGAAAGGTTTAGGAACCCAGCAATTGATTAGAAGATCAGTAGTTTCTACTTTCTACAGATCAGATCAATTTGGTTTTAAGCAGTTATCTCCCACCTGTATTAAATTTTTCTAGGTCATTTAACCAAAATGTTAATGTTAGGTGTAGAAAATAAGGTGTAATTTTATGATGCAAAATATTTAGTCAATTTAGTTTCAGATCTTTCCAGTTGTACTTTAACATTGAACTTTTCTAAAACTGGGCTATAATTTTGTCTGAGATCACTATTAGAGTTTTATAATCTAGCTTGAATTAACTTTAGATATACCTTGATAATAAAAATTACTGTGTGCATGCACATTACTGTTTAGTATTAAATATGGAAATATAAAAGTATTGAATATTGTAAACATGTAAATTAAATGTGAATGGAGGTTCACTTTATTTTTTAGGTCTTCAAATATCATTAAGTATCTTAGCACATAATCAGTGCTGCCTCAATGATGTTATCCCATTTTTTTCCATAATAGGGTACTTTTGTATACCACAGGTCTTTGCGTCTTTTCTTTTGAGTTTATTCTAATAACTTCCTACTTTTAATGCCTTCATCATTCAGTTCAGACTAATAGGTTGTGTGTCTTAAACAACTGACATTTAATGCAGACAGTTTTGTGATCTGGGAAGTCAAAGATCAGGGTTCCAACATGGACATTTCTGGTGAGAGCTATGTTCCTGGTTTTCTTATATGATGGAGAAAAAGAGCTCTGGTGTTTTCCATCCTCTTATAAGAAGAAACCCTATTATAGGGTCGCCATCCCTATGATCTTACCCAAATCTAATTACCTCCCTATGTCCCAGCCTCTAATCACTATCACATTGGATATTAAGGCTTCAATTTATGAACTTAAGAGGACAGATTCTAGACTAAATTTGACACCAAAATCTGAATCAAAGGATATGAAAATATAGTAGATCATATCTTTAAGTATTAAAATATGCCTTGAGCACAAAACTTTATAATGTTGAAGTTAGCTAATGTCCTAAAATAGCAAGTATATAGCAACAGCTAGAATATTTGAATAACAGTGATGATAGAATTAATACAAGCACTCACTGTATTAAGCACTATTCTATGCACTTAAACACATGTAATTCTTACACACTAAGAGCTGGATAGTATTCTCTAAGATGGTTTAATTTGTTTCTACTTTATCTTATTTATATTATCTCTTGTGATTCAAATTTATTTGAAAATATTGATAGAAAATGTAATATAAATACTTGATTTTTTTTAACAGACAAACAATGTCCTATACTAAGAGCAGCTGGACACCAGTTTACACAAGATAGCAGAGATAAACCTGAACTTTCAGGTGAGTATTTTAATTCTTTGCTGAGAAGCATTTTGTGAAAATTATCAACAAATATGTAATATAGATGATTGTTTGACATTGTAATATGATAGTACCAATATAAAAAATTAATGTTGATGAAGGAAAAAGGCTGAGAGCACAGTTCTATGTTGTTGAAGCCAAGACCAACAACACGGCAACCTCTTAGAGAAAGAGGTTATTTATACTTATGCAAATTGTATTTTTTTATAGAAATTTTGAAAAAAAAAGATTAGGGAGAATATTTTGCTAGTAAATATAATCATGATAACCACTTTGGTTTAATGTTTTAATCTTTCTTTTTTTTTTTAATTAATCTGTCAGTCATTTACATATTTGTATAACTTTTCACACCTCCATATAGATACATGCTTCAGTCACCCTCCACCATACTCCTTTGTCATTGCCCTATTGTCTTCTTTCTCCAACCCTTCCCCTCTCCACCCCATGTCCTTACAAAATCAGTATATTTTTCAGTCTAACTTGTTTTGATCTTTCTCTCTTCCTTCCTTTCACTCTCTCTTTGTCCCCTTCCACCAACTCACTTCCTCTCACACACGTATAAGCATACATGATCATAATACATCTATTGCTTTTGAAATCTATTATTTACCCACATCACTTAATATTATTCTCTTAAAGCATGATTTTCTTAAAATGATTGCTTAGATTTCAATTGAATGTGTTTAATAATTTTTAACTAATTTTGTTTATAGATGTTATAGTTGCTATAATGAAATACTCTGGTTATTTACTCAGGATAATTCCTTGTCCAAAGAAAATTAATATTTATGCCACTTGAAACACATTTTACTATTTTCTGTATCTTAAAAGGATATAAATGAAATCAGAAATTTTACTGATCCCAATTTTATTTGAAATAACTTACTCTACAAATCAGCACAACAATAATTCCTGTTTAAAAATAATTTATCTTTGTGAGTTCACTAAATTAAATAAAACTGTCAGATTAAGTAATTTGTCCCATTTTTCAGGTTTTGACCTAGGAGAGAGCTTTTCTCTGAGACGTGCATTTTGTGAAGGTGATAAAACCTGTTTTAAACTGGGAAGTGCACTTCTTATTAGAGATACCATGTAAGTAAAATAACCATCTCATATATCTTTTTTAATCTGCATAATGATTTTCTAAGGTGTTTCCTAGTAATTTGTTTAGAAAATGAAAAATCTTCTCAGTAGTCATTGAATTCTCAATAAGAGTGCTGTGGCAAATGTATGTTCAAAGTAGACATAATCAAGCTTTGATTTTAAAATGTGAACTATAAAACATAAACAATGTAGAATTAGTGACACATTATTGACATTCATTGTATCTTATGTTTACTCAGCTTCATGATATATTTTAATATATGAACTTAGCCCATATGTATTCATCTTGTATGTTATATAAAGGGTATAGTAAAAAAAAACTATTTTGCAATATTATTTTTGATTTTGAAATATTTCTAAATGAATTTATCAAAATTTTCTTTTGTTATCTCTGCCATTCTCTTTCTACTAATAAACCTGGGACTTAAAAAAGAAGCCGTTGCTATTTAAATACTGAAAATTGGTCAATAACTATGTAGGGCAAAAATATTTTTCCATATGCTTGACCAAATGTAATTAAGGACAGACAAAAAGTAATTTAGAAAGCATGAGTTTCCCATAGGCATAGATAGTCATAATGCTTGGTCATGAGAACTAGATGAACATTCCAGTGTGTAATGTGCTGCAATGAAAAAAACAAAAAAAGAATCAAAATTCTGTTTAGTTTAATAGGCAATATGGAGGCGTTTATGTGAAAACATGTGATGAATTTTTACTTTCTGATAGATACCTAATATTTAAGTTACAAGACAGGTTGTTGAGAATCTAGACTTGAGTTCTCCAAGGGACATAAAATTAATCATCTCTTTGCCTATCCTCAGTTGCTCTGTAGATTCAAACTCACTTTTCCCTTGAACAAACTTATTTTAAGCCTTTTATTTTGTGGTATCTTAGATACTTTTAGTTTAATGATATAGTTTCCTAAGACCAAATGGCTCATGAATTAGTAAGAATCAAGTGTGTTCAGGAAGAGAGTGATGTGATATTAGAGGATACAGTGGGAGATTTTCAGGTGGGGCCCCTCAGCAGATGTGGAGACCTGCGCTGTCCTGGGTGGCTTTTAGATGGCTTCACAGACAGACATTTATCTCTGAAGGCACAGCAATAACATTCAGATGCAGTAAAGAAAAATTGATGTGTATCTTATATATATGTATGTGTGTGTTTGGATGTTTCTTTACAAGTAGATAAATTACTGAAAAAAATTTTTTTTAAAGATTTTTTTATTTGTGCATACAGAACTGGGGTACAGGCCAGAGGCTCAGGGGCAGTGAGAGGCTTCACCAGAGACAGAGTGGGGAACAGAACAGGCAGATCACGAAGTACACTGCTGAGGGGAGCAGTGGGCGGGTCAGGAGAGGTCTGCCACCCATGTGGTCACCTCCCGGGCAGGCGGGAATTGAACTCATGTGGAAGCGGCTTTAGATTCTCAGTGCTGTGCTTTAACCCGCTGCGCCACCAGGGAGGGCCTAAATTACTGAAATTTTAAAGGCAATAAATTCTGTTCCAAAAATGAAAGTACATTTTCTCTTCTGTCTTTTTCCTGATGCTTTAAATCCCTATAATTCTTACCATGTTAAAACAAAAAAATGGAGTGAAAGCTTTTTAAAATTCAGTGAATCTTTATTTAAGAAAACATAGCTAATTTTAAGTAGTTTCATGGTAGACTCACTATACTATTTCTTTTTGAATATGTGTGGTAATAAAAAATAGGCATGGTGTTTATTTTCTTACCTTTGGCTTTAAATCACTGTGCAAACCCTGTGCAATCAATGTAAGTGAATTCTCTGGCTCTGTGGAACAGAACCATGGTCCCTGTACTACAGGAAACTGGAGGGTATCTGGTTAAGCTGACTAGTGAGTGTCAAGTAGCTTGGCTTGTCTCCACTTGTATTTCACTCATTGAGCCAAGTATGCTAGGATGCTTTTCTTGCATGATGCCATTTTGATTTTTCAGTGAGACTGGAGTAAAGTTGCAGCTATTTATATATTTGTAAATAAGCTGCCTTGCACAATCAGCATGGGAAAAAGCAGATGCTATTTTATGTTGAAATTGGGAATTTGTTCTATACTTGAACTTTATTGTTTCGGCATCTTAGGTGAGATTCATGAGGAAGGAAATCTAATGAGTGTGTTAGCTTAATATGGGTATCCCAAGGGTTTCTTTTATAGGAATCCTCTAAATATACATTATTGTACACTTAAAAGGTGGCATGGATTCAGGGAACATTTGAGGAACTTTGTATGTTTGGCTTCATTTTAAATTCAAATTATTTTTTCAGTATTCCTCAGGGTAGTGAATGATAAATGTTTGGGGGCTTTAAAAGATTCTGAGTGTTTAGCACATGGGTTCTAATGTTATATTTTTAAAGGCAGTTTACTTATTTTCTTGTAGTTGTAAGTATTCCTGCTAATGTGAAATAAATAATTCATTATTACATACATATTGGAAACTTTGTCATAGATGACCATACTCTGATGATATTAAATCATGTTTTGGTAATTAGTAGGGCAAAATGGTAAAATTTTGGGAGAAAATATATCTCAAAACTATATACTATGAAACATTTTTTCTTGGCATTATATAGTCCATTTATTTTATTGGCTGCTTCTGTAGAGACACATTTTAAATAAAAATGCCCTAGTAGTTGAATATTTTAGAAAAATTGATGAATGTTGAATTTCCACACTTGCTTCTGAAAGGGCAACACATACCCTTATTTTGATTTACTAATGGGGAAATGAATCATTTCAAATGTACCAGAGAAATGAATTTCCTGATTTATCTTGAATTCAAGGATAGTAAAGAGCTTTATCATACCGGCACTGTGATGGACAGCGACTTGCTTTCTGGAATACTGTGTTGAGAAAGATTCTGAGGCCATATTGCATTCAACAAACTAGAGTACTGTGACATGACCCATTAGCAAAAAATGGGGCAGGAGAAGTGCTCTTATGTGTATTAAGTCTGAAGCCTCGCTGGTTTAGGATGATTCCTGTGAGGAGGTGGTTATTGCAATAGGGAAAAGTAAGCCTGTCTCTGAAAAATAATCATCACAGATAAACTTTAAGATTTTATGAGCTTGGTTACTGTAGCCAGATATAGTGACATAATTGATGGATAAAGTCCCCTTATAAGTAAATCTCTAGTGAAAAGTCCTCTCTCTGTCTCTTTCATTTAAATCCGTGGTTGCCTTCTAGAAACAAGGGCTATTTAGTTTTACAGCTTTACATAAAAACAAGTTGGTAGGAGCTATTCTCACTTGTGTTTTATGTTTTTATAGACATAATAATCCTCAGCAAGTAGAAAACCCCAAATTATATATTTGGAAGATGTGTATTGTTTTTTAGGAGTTTTTATGGCCCAGCTTCTCTGGATCATAACAGTTGCCTTGGGAATAATCCTTGTGCGAGAAAGTGGTAATGTCTATTGCGGCATGGTCTGTAACTGATCTTTGCTGTTGTTGAGTGATTCACCCTGAAGGCACGACTTTTCCACATGGACCTTTATATGACATCTAGATATTTGTTATTTCAAATAATGCAGCAACTTAAAGGAAAGCTATTTTTCTCTGTGTTTAGGATTATTCTCATAGAATTGATTTTTTTAAAGTTAAATCACCAGTTTTTGACACACATTTTTAATTATGTCCCATCTTTGTTTATTCTACACATAACCTGATACCACAGGTTGTTTTAGACATCATTTTACTTAGTTATTTACTTTTTAAATACATTTAGTAACATCGGTTTATGATATTTTAGGGGAATGAGTTTACATCCCTTTAAATACATGTTAGCATACTACCCCCACCCCTAGAACACCTGAGTGTCCTCCACCATAGTCCTTTGGGCCCCTCTACAACTTGTTTTCCATTCCTACCCTTCCTCTTAAGCTCTGTTCTCAGATTTTTAGGGTTTGTTTTGGCTTAGTTTTGTTTGTTACTTTGCTTTGTCTCTTTATATTCCATGTATGGATGACATCAACAGTGTTTTATATGTTATCATTTAAACTTTTAATTTTTTTAATGAAAGCTTCTAGGAATTACAAATAAAAAATTGTAGTATAGTTTATTACTATACGAATAGTTCCTGAAACCTTTATATTCTTTTAAAGGGTGGGTGATAAGACAGATGGAATTCAGTAAATCACTAAAATTAATGCAGTCTAACCTATAGTGCACTCTTTTATTCAATGAGTGTTTGTTGAGCAACAGGCATGCAACATTACAGACTGAGAACTTTAGTTGAACTGGTGTTACACTGGTGAAAAAATTGTAGTTTTTAATCATACCGTCCTGGAATTCCTGGAGAGATACATGTTGCAGGGAAAAGCTAAACTTCCCTTTTGCCTTGACAGCAGAAAAAAACTGAGATGTGCTGCCTTCTCTCATTCAAGCAGAGGCTAAGGACTCAAATCCCATTCCTTCCTTCATAGAGGCTAAATTTCTCTTAGCATCACACAGAAGGCAGATTTTCATTATTTTCATTCCTTTCCTCATAAGGGCTGGTTTTCTAAGTCATGTTTCATTTTTATTGCTCTTCTTTGGTATCTCTCCAAGTTCTCAAAACCAGTTAAATTCTGATGCTTAAAACTATGTACAGAACTCTGATACTGAAGTTTCTAATTGCTAAACTTAGTGGGAGGATTACTCACAATCCCATTAAATTATGAAGTGACTATTTATGCATCCCTTGGGTTTTCATTTCGCTATCATTTTGTAGCTAGGAAGTTTCCCATATAGAACAAAGTGACTTAGTTAGGAAATTGTCCAGCTGTTTATAGGTGATTGACTGACACATAATTCATACACAAATCTGTATTTCCTTAATTATAGTTTGGAATGCTAAAAATGTGAGGGGAGTCATTGGCATACATTCTTAAAATATAAAGAAAATCCTGATAATTTCTCAATTGTTGAGTTATTTAAATCTTTCAAGTTACAAATCTTATGAATAACATGTATATATTAGGTAGAACACAATTT